TCATGAGGAACGTTTTGTACGCTTGGTCAAGGGAATGATGGCCGCTGATCAGAACAAACGCCCAACAGCACAAAAAGTGCAAGCAAGGATCCCCATGGATTTTACAGTTACTGAAAGCATAAAACCTGACTCGACTACATACGAATCACCTTACTGCTGCTACTACTACGAGAGAAAACTAGCAAACATAAATTCGTTTGCGACACTGTCGCCGACGTTGACTCCTATACTTCCGGAGAATGTATAGTTAGTTTGATCCGATAGTTGCACTTATTTACACCACTTGTTCAATGTTTGTTCTTAGCATGAGATCTTGCGCGCTCTAGTGTGATTCTTCTGGACTCAGATAATCGCATGAGCTCTGCGATAGCATCAAAGGCCAGGTCAACATGAGATTCCATTGTGAGATGTGAAGGGTAGTATATTGTAAGACTTGTCGCACGCGCCATGATTTTGATACATATAAGAGATTGCACACAGCATATGGTGAGTACCATGACGTGCGGCCCGACCAAGTATAGGCGGTTATAACAGATTGAAGAGCTTTATAGGGTGTGGTAGCTGCGATAATAGTGTTACTAGCCAATTCCTATAATGTTTGATGTTCTAGTTACCTGAGAGGCTAAGTGAATCTAGGTGGAACAGGTATCTTGAAAGAAAAACCATATTCCCTGACGATTAGCACAGGTAGCAAGATCGCAATATCTTTGGCTGCGCGTTTTTAGCCATAATACATACTCTAATATGACCTATCAGTGCTAGCCCACCAAGCACCAACGTAGGATCCCTTACAAAATGGGTATGGATGTTAAAAAGTGCATTGAACTGCACAACCCCATCGTCTCGCACGCTAGCTCTAAACGTTACCTTGAACTCGACGACAACCTCACAGTATTTCTATCCTGCATCGACATCGTTATCCCTGAAGACCATCAGTGCCTAGCCTTTAACAGTTTTTCATCGGCCTTTCGGCTCCCAACGGACTGCAGCTGGATACGTGGGAAGGTATAGATGAGTATGAGGATTCTATCCTGTTGTACAAGGGCACGGGCATGACCCTGGTGGTCTTGTTTACAGTCGAACTAACTATCAAGTCTGCTTTATATGCGATCCGTTTGATGAGCCCCGCGAACGAATGTGGGGTGATCTCCATGCGTTTTTTGGAGCTCTATCTGCGGTCGATCGAGTCGGGGAAGCTTGTTGTTGATGCAAAGCACCCTGGGTTCGGCGATGGGCATGGGCTTGTTACGCATGGCTGGAGAGTCTCGGAGTGAATGGAGAAAGAGTTCGGGCAAGTGCTTGATATTTGGAAGAGTTTGGTGGATGCGGTTACTGTGCGGTTACCGGAATCTGCTGGAGCGGCTGGTGGGGAAGAATACCTATGGTGGTGATGAGGAATCGCATCCGAAGAAGAGGAGGTAAATGGAGGATTGTGTTTTGATTCCTGCGGATGTCTTGAACAGATATCCTGCGAAACCGCCTTTTGCGCGCGTCTTCTGTCTCGGACGAAGAAATCGCGTTTTACTTCTATCGCACCGCAATTGGATATCCCCGATGAATCTTTTGTCCACCGTGTGGGCGCTGAGCTACAGGCAAGGTACCCTGATGCTTCTCTCAACACTCCGCAGCATGAGATTATCGGTCGTCCACCCTTTCTGCTGTTCCCATGGCGCACACCAGGCGTACAGTTTGCCTCACGAGATGAACGGGACCGATGGCAACCTTATCTCCGCGAAAACCAAGTATACTAGACGATCGCGTTGGCCTCTATCTTGTGCCAGATGTTCTCCACGCTCACGTCAGCACTCTGCTTCTACCTTTCCAGCTCGATGAGAAACGTCATGTACCTAGGTTCCTAGGTAGTGATAGGGGATGAATCAACGGTAGATAGACCGGCTCAGGACGCGTTGTATCGACATGGCGTGTAACCATTTCATGCCTAACCACATTACACCGCTTGCTGCGATACTGGTGAATTGGTAAGAACAGGTTGAGAATGACTCTTGGAGCGTCAACGCGAGTGATGGGGATGGTGGGGATGGTGGGGAAGAGCTATGTGTCGGCCATAGGGCTTATCCCTTGGCTCCTCCTTAGGCAACCAGGCAGCCACCCATTTACCCGCTAGTACCTTTACGGCCTAGCTCCTTCACTCCCTCTTCCCACTGCGCATATAGACCTCTTTCCGAGATAGCTCCAATACGACATGATTCTCCCCAACCTTCACATTTGACACTATGGAAGAAGGCTGACACAGAGGAAGATGCTGAAGATTTTCAGACTAACTGGTCGTGTTAGAAAGAAATATGTTGGGCTACGTCGAAAATGTAAAGGATTTTATTATTAGACTTCTTGCCATTGTAACTACCTCGTCACACGCATAACAAAAATAACTTCATAAGTAGCTGGAATATTAAACACGACGAAGCGATGACCACACAGTTCACCGACTATATACTTGATCCAATCCATACTCTCGCTTCCCCACGCCCGAAAAAGAGAGAATACTATTCCTACCCAAAAAATACCACCAGTAGTCCGACAACGCAACGACCTCTCCTCAAAGCGCCCCTCAACTCCATACCTCTGCATCTCTCCCCCTCACACCCCCACCGGCCCTTAAGGCAAAAAGAAATACAGCACTAACACCCAAATCCACACCAACAGCAAGCACAAGCGCCAAAACACTTTCCCCCACAGAAAACGCCTCCCAATCTCCTTTTCCATGTACTCGAGCACCGGCGGCGGAAGATTCGCCCCGCGGATGAAATACCCAATCTCGGCGAGTGCGACGCGGGATTCGGAGACGTCGCCGCTGCGTACGGGACCGGAGTACTGGCATTTAGTATCTTGCCATTCTGCGCCCCGGAGGGTGGACGGATGTTGGATTTGCTTTAACACTACGGGATCGCCTTTGTAAGATACGCCTGGTATCACTCTATTAAAGCAGTGTGCGCCGGTACATCCCGTTGTTGTCGTCGGCGTATCATTCAGAATCGCCTCCGCGAAATGGTCAAAATACGTGATTGGCCAGGGTGAAGGTGTGTAGAAGAGAGCATGGCGGCCTTCGAGGTTGCGGGCGAGTGTGCCGTTTGGGTAGGTGATGGTGTAGTAGAGGTATTCCAAGGAGTGCGGGTGGCAGAATGTGTGGTCTTGAGAGTCGATCTCTAGGCCTTCGATTCGGGGGCGGCTGCGGATTTGCTGCCAGAGTGAGGGCTTGGGGGAGTGGTAGTTACGTGGGGGGCGTGGTTCGCCAGGGTACCACATTTCGGTTGTGGTTGTGGTTGTGGAGGTGCTGGGCGGGTTTTAGGGGTAAGGTATAGATGGATGGAGGTGCGAACTTACTTACCTTCGGATTTCTGGTACGAGGATGTTTTGCACGGCCGTGAAGGCTGCATCTGTTGGTGCTGAGAAGTCTGTGGCAGTCGTGCTGTACTCAGTTGTCATCGTTTCCGCAGCTGGTATTGAGGTATGACTGCGACCATGCGCATGCGGTAAAATTAGGAGAAATGTTGTGACTATTGTAGCCGCCATGGAAACCGTAAGCAACACGAGATAGGCTTTGATAATGCCGTTGGTGAGCATGTCGTCTGTAGTTTGTTGATCAGGCGATGCGTGTTGATGTATCAATTCCCAATAGGAAATTTATACTAGGATTACACGAAATACATGCTCGAACCATGGTTCAGGTATCGACATACGGAGGAATGGTAGTTCGTGAATTTGTGGATAGACTAGATTTTCGGTACCATAGTTCGAAACTGCTGGAGTGTGTACTTGATAGGTACAATACCAGAAACAACCTTTCAGACTGGCCCTAGTGTAGTACCAACCAACCTTGAAAAAGGGGTTTATTCTATGAACCTTCAAATTTGGAATGATAAACACCGCAAGACAAGATCGACAGAGAATAACACTGATTCAGGTCTAGAGTGCCCTATAATGCCTATGCGGCACCCGTAGAACCTATCTAAACCCTCACTCGCCATCTTCCGAAAGTACTATATGAACGTGCTCATGCACTACACCACTATACTTTCATCAGGCTTTGGTTTCTTGGGCGTCACTACAACTGTCGCTTCTGTTCCATCAATTATCGGTACCGGAGTTCCGTTGTCCACAAGGTTACTAACCGCCTCTTTCGCCATTTCTACAGCCGATTTAGCCTCCTGTTCTGCATCAGTAGACGGCCGGGGGCCTGGACCAGTATTCGGATGACTTTTAGCACAATCCTGTTCAAATGTGGTGTGGTACCAATCTTCGCCTAGTTCGTCATCGCCTATGAAGTCTTCTTCGACAGCGAGGGGGTTTTGCTCTGTTTTGATAACCGAGGGACGATTTTCGAGGAACTCGTTGGTGTATTCAGTTCTCAACGTCTCGGACATGTCCAGAGGGTTTCCTGAGGCCAATTTGACAGTCCAGCTGTCTGAGCCTCCGTTGGCTAGGGCATCGGCTGCAATGTTCCCCTCATCTACGTTGTGGCCTTTGACCCACGTAATTTTCGTCTTTGCTCTGCAGCGATCACGTTCCCGTATCCTGGCTATTATGGGTTGGATAAGATCCTTGTTTTCCACTTCCTTGCCGGCGGAATTGTACCAGTTTTTCCTTTCCCAGTTATAAAACCACTCCTGTAGGCACTTTTGCGAATACATGGAATCGGTTCTGATCTCAACGTCGCGATCGATCGGTACGTGATCTAAAGCTCGAGCTATTGCGACCAATTCGGCTCGCTGGTTTGTTTGCTTGCTCCCTCGAAGGGGCTCGCTCACATTCCTACTGATGTGGTCAGAAATAGTAGTTTGTACCGTGCTTAGACGGACGAACCTGGGGTCTGCAGGACCAAAGTAGACACCTACACCAGCTCTAGCGCCTAACTGGCCATTTCCACGGGAGGACCCATCTGTGCTTACTACTATGGTACCCCTGGAGTCGCCTGTAGCTTGTCGTTTTGTCGCACCAAGTTCCTCCTCTGTTTTGATTCTAATCTGCCCATCTTCACCAAGCTTCAGAGTACGATCGAACCCATCCTCTGCGTCGGGAGGCAGGGGCCCCATTCCAGGCTCGTACTTGATATCTCCATTTGTCCTGACCAACTTTGGCGATGTGTTATCCTTCTTTTGCCGCTTGGGCGCACTCTCTCCACTTCGATCCATCTTGTGCGTTGTTACTGATGATGTGTCGGAAATGGTGAGAAGCCCTTGCACACCGCTAGGCGCGCTTTTCGCATCTTTTTTGGCGTCGACGTACGCCTCCGCCTCTACTCGTGTTGGGAAGGACTTCTGTTCCGCGCCCTTGAAGCCCTTGATCTGGGCCTGTACATCTGCCCAGTTTGTATATACACCTGGTTCATGGCCAGCCGCAACTCCGTAGTATTTTGATTTGCCTGGTTTAGCTTTGTAAGTACCAGTGCTCTTCATAAAAGCCTCCGCTTCGGTACGTGTGGAAAACGATTGGTCTGTTCATTCGTCAGTTGAGCCGGAAGATGCAATCGCTCTGCATACAGATAGCTCCTGGAACGCCGTCGGTCTGTAGCTTGGCCTCATCCCAGGTGCTATATATGCCCGGTTTCTTTCCAGCCTTGACAGCGTATACTTTAGGGGTTGCGCCGCCCTTGCGCTTCCCGCTCGAGCCGGACGACGTGACGGACACGGTGCCTGCCATGAAGCCGTTTTCGGTGAAGAAGGTATTGGGAAATTCGTCCCAGATTGAGTATGCACGGCGAAGGGAGAAAGAGGTATAGGGCTGGTCGTGATTGGAGCAAGATGCAAACGCGTTGGTGGTAGATTTGTAGAAAACGATGCGGGAGCAGCAATCGCCAGTATTACAAGCGTGCCTGTTGAAGTCAGACAGCTATTTTGCGGTAAAGGCAAAGCGAGCGGGAAGCCGAGGCCAAGGTGAAGGTACGTACCATTGGTTGGCCCGGGAACATAGAGCAGTAACGCGCCAAGGTAAGAACTGCCTGGCACTCTGGAGCATACAGCGCTGGCTGTGGTTGGGTACCGAGGGCACTATGGGTAGCAAGGGCGGGAAGGACGTCTCGGGTCTTGGATATATGATACCGCTCTGAAGCTTTGCTATCCTGTGTTTGTCCTTGCGGGGCTGACTGCGGAGCCGTCGGGGGTGCTTGGGCCCTGAACTACCTATAGCTTCATTCCGGCAAAGAGCGACCGAGCCCTGATTATGCAACAACGGCAAAACGAAAGACCCGCGCATACGAGTCTAAGGGTTCAACCATTGTGCTGGCAGAGGTAGAACCAGGGTCGGATGACTGAGCGGCTCAGGACTTCCGTGTCAAGAACGTGGGCTGATGCGCTCGCCTCTTCTAAACCCTTTGGACCTCGGAAAGCCGCATACCCCACGACATCACGCAGGTGCTCCAGTCGATTGCGCTCTACGCTATATCATCCGGAGTAGTACCGAACCAGCCATTATAGCACCGTCGTCAGCTGCTCCCAAATCACTTACTCTTTGCAATTCACCATGTTTGAAGTAAGTAGCCAGCACCTTCATCCTACTACTTAGACTCACCACATGTCAGGGTCGTCACGCATCCGACCGATACCACCTACATCTGCACCGCGCGCGCTCAGTCGTCCTGACGAGCGCAGAGTTGGTTGAGATCCGTGCAGCACAGAGGACGTTTGAAGGCGCCTATGTGCGCACAGCCATCGGCCAGTTCTCCTTTGCCCTCGTCGTACTGAAGATCTTCACTGCCGAGTTCTACTCTATCGGGGCGCTATTCGCTGTCTATGGCGCTGGCATCTTGTTCATCAGTTTGTTCCGACGCCAGCAAGGTAAATCCAGCTGGGTGGGATAGAGCGTCTACAAACTGACATGAACCAGGCAACAAGCAGTTCTTTTCCGAGTTAGGCGAAGATGGCCTACAGAAGAAGAAGTTCCGCACGAGCGGCAACGTCGTGTCCGTACTGACGGCGTTGAGTGTATCTGCCTACGTTTGTCTGCTGGTACTCACGCTGAAGCTTGCCACCTAACCGGGCGCGCAAGCAGACGTGCAATCGCTGGCTTTATGACGCTGACCCCGACTTTTACGCCTTGGCAGCTGGCACAAATACGGGCGGCGAGTGAGGCTCCGTCTTGGGGGCTGCTTCAGGAATTTCCGAGGGAGCACGGGTTGCGCATGTATACGACTGCCAAGGACTTGGGACTATACATACAACATGTATTGCTGATCATTACACTCTGGCCTTGTCCAACACATGGCCTCATGTCGGACCGCATCACACAGCATCGTCATACGAGCACTCGGGTGACATAACCCACTTGACATACTAGTGTACAACCCACACTGTCAAGGATTCCATGTCACTCAGGTGCGAGAGCAAACCGTCTCGGAAAAGTTGGATGAAGGCTCCGCAATCAAGGGTAGCTTTCTGTCATCTTTGTCAGCGTCGACGAGCTCGTGTGCGGATGATTGGTATTCGGGCTCGGAGTGTGGGGTATTGTCCGATTCAAGCAGGACCGACTGCCAAGCGGCATATAGCTTGAAGAGCAAGGCAAAGATAGCATGCGCTTGTCCGCCCGTATCTCAGATTCGGGAGTAAAGGATATAAACTACTCGCCATGCATTCCTCGCCACATTCCCGCGCGTTCCTGAAAACTCGCCCTGAGCTTACCGCCGGCCTAGTTCCGGTAGCGGAACCGTGGTAGCCTCAACGCGGTAAGCCCTCTCAATCAACAATAGGCCGACTCCGAACAGTCATCGTTCAGAACCGACCACCTGTTCAGGGAAGGTTGAACCCTGGATCACATGCCCTGGCCCGCTCAGTCTACCACTTTTTAATCTCCCACAACCAAGACCCTTTGATCTATATTTCCGACATCATCTCAACTCAACGCGCATTTCTCGACTGACATCATCTCGACTGCACCCGAGTGGCTCCCAGCAGCTTGGTGCTATCCTAGTGCGGCTGCAACTAGCTGTAGATAAGTATCTTGACATCTTGGCATGACGCCAAACGTGGAAGTGCCGGCGCCGATGGTGACCGAGCTTGTACATCACAAGCAATTGCACCGCCGAAGATCTTCAGCCTCCTCGAATCCCTCTAGCCCGCACAATTCCCGCTTCAGCTCCCATTCTACATACGCCCGATCTGTAATGAGCAAACTCACCCTACCGCTCGACAACGCACAGCAGCCAAAGACCAACACCGACAACGATCTCACACCCCGCGCCGTCCCTACAGAGCCAAACTTTCCCGCAGTCGCGCCTGCTAAGAACGTCCAGGCGCTCAAAGAGCGCGCCCTACAGAATGGCGAGCTGAAAAGCGTACCGAACCCTGTTCAGCAACAGCAGCACAATGGCCACTTGATCGCAAAGGATGGCGTGGGCGCTGCCTTGAGCGACACGCCACTTCCCTCTGTTCCGGGCAGTCCGCGAGAGTATGGAGAGGCGCCGTCGCAGAGCTCATCCTACTTCGCTGACCGCAACAGCGCCCTCACGCGTAACAGCTCCACTACCTCCACCCCACGATTACGCCCCACGACGCTCGATATCCCTGGCTTGACAAAGTCAAAGGTCTCGCCCGACGGCAAGATTGCACAGCGCGATGTCGGTTCCAAGCTCGTCATCGTCATGGTTGGACTGCCCGCGCGAGGCAAGTCATATATCACAAAGAAGATGGCACGCTACCTGAACTGGCTGCAGCACGACACTAAGATTTTCAATGTGGGAGAGAAGCGGAGAGTAGCCGCGAGTCACAGCGGGTTCCGCCTGTCGCAAGCGAACCTCGAGCGGGTCTCCTCCACAGTCAGACAGGCCATTGAAGAGCACCAGGACACCTTGCCGCAGATTGCTGCGAAAATTCTTATCAATGGCGACCCCGCGCACGATGGGGCCATTGACCCACAGAAGATGCCGGACCCACGCCGGGGTAGCACCGCCATCGCAGACGACGAAGACGGTCCTCCGCTGCCACCACCTCGTGTTGAGGTCACCTCGCCCGGCCCAAAGGCGCCGTCGCCAAACAATGGACAGAATGAGGAAAACGAGTCCATGGACCAGTCGGCAGACTTTTTCGACCCGCAGAACCAGCGTGCAGCAGCTTTGCGCGAACAATGCGCTATGGAGACGTTGGATGACTTGCTGGACTATATTCTCAAGGGTAGTGGCTCTGTGGGTATATTTGACGCGACCAACAGCACGCTCGCGCGACGACAGCAGATCATGGAACGGATACGGAATCGCGCTGGACCAGAGCTCAACGTCCTCTTCGTCGAGAGTGTATGCCGTGATCAGAATCTGCTCGAGTCCAACATGCGCCTGAAACTTTCGGGACCGGATTACGCTGACAAGGACCCTGTTGCGGCTCTGGCTGACTTCAAGAAGCGTGTAGCCATTTACGAGAAGAACTATGTCCCGATTGGCGACTACGAAGAGGATCACAACATGCCCTACGTCAAGATGGTGGATGTAGGCCGAAAGATGATCTCTCATCAAATCAAAGGCTTCCTCGCTGGCCAGGCCGTCTACTACCTCCTCAACTTCAACCTTGCGCCGCGCATGATATGGATCACACGACACGGCGAGTCAACTGATAATGTAGCAGGCAAGATAGGTGGTGACTCTGATCTCAGCCCGAATGGCCAAAAGTACGCCAAAGCCATGACGCGTTTCATTGCCTCTCAGCGCAAGGACTGGGCAGTTCGACAGGCGGATAAAATGGCTCATACCCACTTTCCACCCGCTGCAGGCGATCACACGCCCCCGAACCCGTACTACAGCCACGAACTCGAAGCCCATAACTTCTGCGTCTGGACGTCTATGCTGAAACGCAGTATCCAGACAGGCCAGTACTTCTGTGACGAGGAGTTTGAGGTCAAGCAAATGCGCATGCTGGATGAGCTCAACGCCGGTCTCATGGAGGGCCTTACCTATGAGGAAATCCGTACAAAGTACGCAGACGAGTACCTTCGACGGCGACGCGATAAGCTTGCATACCGCTACCCCGGACCCGGTGGCGAAGGCTACCTGGACGTCATAAATCGTATCCGCCCCGTTATCGTGGAATTGGAGCGCATGACAGACCACTGCTTGCTCATCACCCATCGCAGTGTTGCGCGCGTACTACTGGCATACTTCCAGGGCCTCAAGCGCGAGGATGTGGCTGACCTTGACTGCCCGCTCGGTATGCTTTATCAACTTGAACCTAAACCCTACGGCGTCGAGTTCAAGGCATGGCGATACAACTCGGAGACGGACGGTTTCGACCACCTGCCAGACTACAAGCTTCGACGGTCCCCCGTTCAGACCAACAACTAGGAGTCGAGCGACGAATATTAGGGCTGCTGCTGCTACCATTCCATTTGGAATCTATGAGGTTGCGATTACATGTATTACTATGGGATTCTCTCTTTCTCTCTTTCTTTGTCTGTACAGGATAGAATGCGTTGCGGGACTTGCGACAATGATTTCTAGCGTTCATATCTCCCTGTAATGGTCTCCCTTTGGAATGCACTTTGGTTGGGGACCTTTCTGACGACCTTGAGTCGATGATGATGACGAGGCTTTGCTGCATCTACGGGCGTTCCCTGTTTCTCTCTCTACCTCTACCCCTGAAGCTACTTCTTCTTAGTGGGGTCGATTGCTCATTCATGACCCATGTGTACCGTGGTGTTTCGTACGTGTATCGGCGGTTTTCGATTAGACGATTATTGGAATGCACAATTTACATGAACATGTGTCTTGATTATTTTGGAGCACACCTCCAATGTGAGTTGAGATTTTCTGATGTGTTTGCTGGGAAACTGCGTGGCATGGATTTACATGAACATGTACCGTACGTCTTTTTGAATGTCACTGATAGTAGCTTGTGATGTGGTCCGTGCATGGGCAGAGAGTGCATATAAACCTCTCTCTCGCTCCCATACCTCCTTCCCTTCTTCACTGCAACAATGAATAAAACGTATTTCAATGTTTCTAAAGTTTACACCACAATGGCACATGTCTCTTTGGCTTTTTCTCTCCTCCCTTTTCTTGAAACTTCACAGATAGTAACGATGATTTCAAGCCTCCTGCCCTCTTCTTCTTCTACTACTTAAACTCTGTGTCCCACAACACTCTTCTTCTTTCTTTCCCTAAACGTTACCTCAAAACTTGTACGGTATTTCTAAAAACAACCCGATATTGACCTCATGTGTGCTCCTGTGGTGTTCTTTCTAATAGACTCCGCAACAATCAATTCAATCCGGTCACTCTCCTAGACCCACTTACCTATCTAGGTAGGGCTTAAACTCCTATAGGTAACTACTAGGCTTAAAGCGGTAATCAATCAATCCAATCTGAACCTTCTAGGACCCACTTAATTGATTGTTGCGGACTGTGCTTTCTAAACACCGAATTGCGGAACAAAAATGGGTGTATTCCGTTGTTGTGTTTAAAATCACTTGACCTTATTCTTAATGTGCTCCTCTCTGTTCTTGTTTTTAAAAATGACGAGGACATTCCAATGTTTGGTCGTTTCTCGCTTCTTGACTCTATTAAATTTCATCCGTTGAATGGATTATGCGAGTGAACATTAAAATGGGAAACTCAAGTACCGATGGATGTAGTGTTCTAGATTTTTTCCAAAGCCAGGAAAAAAAGCCTAATGGCTGTGGTGTGTGTGGGATAAAAACTCTATCCTACATTTCTTTCTTGAAACTAAAGGATTTATCACTAGGCTTGTCGGATCGTGAGTATCGGTAGAGACGTCGGCTGCTTGACACTTCGGCCCGACTTCGGCCCACCTTGCGCAGAGCTTCGGTATACCTTCGTAGCAGCTATGTTCGTAGACAATCAATCAGAACCACCGAACAGAATGCATTCCTAGTTATCGTTATTTCCCTTTACGCACTTAGTGCAAAGCCAACCAACAAGGCTAGAATATCTAGACTGCGGCAGCTTATAAGATTTTCCAAATAAGACGCCACATGCTCTCCTCTGTGTTTTTCTGAAAGTTGTTTTGGGGTTTTTGGATGAAGCTGGAGTCTTTCCTTACTCCTACTCTGTCCTTTTTTACTCTACCTTTTCTACTGCTCAAAAAGTCAGGGCCTCACCGCTAAAATCTGAAAGTCTAAAATATATGCCCGGCATGCGTTATGGGTGTGTCATCTCCTTTCTTTCTAAAAACTACATTAGGATCAGTGCATAGCTTATGGTCGCGCATCCCTTGAGTTCCCGCCTTCCTACGTCTATATAAACTTCTGGGGACACACTGCTTCTATTCTGCACAATAAACCTGCACATATTTATTTCTAAAAACTTCAGGGAACCTCTATATGTACTGTTGGGAATCGAACCTGCGGTAGATAAGGCAGCTGGTTGCTGCATGCACGAGCTTGGATTACACGGCTGACTAAGCCGTGTGGTCCGAGCTCTAGCTGCTGCCTTACTGCCGACCTCCCTCCACCTCCATAGAACAACAAGAACAATCACAATCATTTCAACTCGTTGCAACGAAGGTGATTCCGATACCTTAGCCGTATCAACATGTACTCTGGCTTATTCCTCTTCTTCTAAAAAAATACTGGAACAAGGCACGTGTTGTGTTTCCCCGCGTGCAAAAAAAAATAACAAAGGCAACGCGTTGATGTCCTTGTCTGTTCTTCCTCCTTGAAACACAAAAAACGCGTAAAACATATTGTTTCCGCTGTATCCTAAAAAGAACCAAATTAACTATAGATTTTGGTGTCTTTCCTTCCTATTTTAAATTGACACTCCAACGCCTAATGCTGTTCCCGTCCCCTTGTTACGAACCTGTGGGAAGGGGCACGGCGGTTAAGTTAAGGAGCGTCGGCGGGATAGCTGACCCCTCCATATGTGACACGGGAACTTAATCACGTGACCTCCTCGGCTTGGCATGCACGAGGAAAAGTCTTGGCACACCCCTCGTACATACGCCACCGAGGAGTGCTCCTCGCGCGTCAGCCACCGAGGAATCCTCGGACTCCTCTGAGCGAGGACAGCGAGCACCATAGGTATATAGCATTAGGCAATGAGCTCCTATAGCTCATTGTGTTCAACTTCGAAATCTAAGGATTAGTACTTGATTCTCAACTCCCCGTATATTACATCGATCTACCAATCGTGCTATACACCCTCGTGTCCATCGCATCACTCTATCCCCGAGAACCAACCCAAGATCATCTTCGGACGACCTTCACACTTTGAACACCCTCAAGATGAGTGACACCCCGATGAACACACCTAACGAAACTTCGTCAAGCCGCACCAAGGTGGCCAGACCCGATCTATTTCACGGCGATCGACACAAGCTCGAAGACTGGATTCTCCAGTTCGATCTCTTCTTCAGGTTTGAAGATGAGAAGGTCGACCCTACTGATCGTGGACTGCTCATGGCAAGTTACATGCGAGGAACTGCCGCCACCTGGATCAAGCCTTACCTCAACAAATACATGGACGACAACGATGACGACGACGATATTGAACGAATGTTTGAAGACCATCCAACCTTCAAAGACAAGCTTAGACAGCAATTCGGAGTCATCAACGAAGAATCCAAGGCAGATCGTGCAATCCAACAGCTCAAACAAACCCAATCAGTCGCCGACTACGCCAGTATCTTCCAGGGGCATGCCCTGAAGACCGACTGGGACGACAAGGCATTAAGGGTTATGTACCGACAAGGACTCAAGGAAAGAGTCAAAGAAGAGCTCATGCGAAGCGGCGTGGCAATCAACAACCTACAGGATCTCATCCGAGAATCAATTCGTATCGACAACGCACTCTACGAATTGCAGCAGGAAATCCGACCGGTTAGAGCCAACCAGTCAGTGCAACGCACAAAGGGACGATTCTTTAAGAAGAAACCAGGATATCGGACGACACCCGGAGGTATTGTACCCTCCGCCGGTAACAACTGGCACGACCCTGATGCAATGCAACTGGACAACATCAACAAAGGCAAGAGTTTCGGAAGGAACGACAAGAAGAAGCCGTATAACAAGAAGGAGATCACTTGTTATAACTGTGACAAGAAAGGTCACATGGCTAGGGACTGCCACAGCAAGAACAAGGTGGTTAGACAACTCAACGTTATCCACAAAGCAGTACCCACTGAGCAACACGAGACATGGAATGTCATATCTAAACCAACCATCGAAATCAACACGCAGGAAAGCGTTTTGGGATTGGATAACCTCACACTCGTGGAATCAGACTCAGAAGAAGAACAGCCCTCTTCGGAGTACGACATGCTCGAAGACGAGTCCAAGGACTTAGAGGCTACGGAAATCGACCAGACCAAATTCGGCAAGATGGCCATGTTTGAAGGAATCAACAGGCCACCCACACCTTATATACAGGAAGAAGAGTTCTACAAGCTCGCAGGACAAATCAACCAGCTACTACGACACCTCAACAAGGCTAATATCGAGTACGCCTGTGAGGAACCCAACATTATGGCTGCTATGCGACAGGACTTCTACCGATTGTCACTAGAAGTACAACAAAATAAGGAAAACATTTCAACCGAAATATTGGAGTTCCTACCAACAACATGGGAACTAAGCTGGATCGAAGACGCAATCCGATCATGGGAAGAACCAACGTTGCCAATCTCGGAAGAAGAGAAGCAAGAGATCTACGACGAACTCTGCCAGACCAGGAACGACTGGAAGACCTTCCAACACGGCCACAAGAGAAAGGCCAAGGACATCAGTAGATCAAAGGAACACGACTACTGGATGGACCCTAGGAACCCAGAACATGAGAAGTTATCATGGGTTACATGCATTCACGACCATTGCAGAGTACACTACTCGGATAAGTCCGGATCAGGATGGTTCCCGGAAGAAACCAAACGATCGTACCGCTGCAAGTGGCAATTCTTCGACTGCAAAAACGACCTATGCCCAATACATTTATGGGACAAAAGGGAAAAGACATACTTCCCAGGTCACGACAACCCCGAAGAAATTGATCAGATGCAAACAGTATGGCTAAAAGAATACGATGAAGGAGACGCTTGGGAATGTCAACAACCCAACTGGCAAACGTGCCTTAGCAAAGAATGCGACCTTCATGCGATAGCCAAAGGATTCCATGGATTTGGAAATCAGGCTTTTTTAGGCCAGCACCCGGCCCAGAGCGGCCCGGCAAGGAGATTAACTCAGTAAACTCCTTAGACCTCATCAAGCTTCAGGTGAAGCTTGAAGGGAGGTGGATGAAGGCACTAGTAGATTCGGGATCACAAGCCAACTACGTTTCAGCGCACGCAGCGTCTTCAGCCGGACTGAAGCCACTACGGAAACAAGAAGCTT